ATTTGCTTATTCACCCGCTTTGTCTTCAGCGGTTTTTAAAGCACACATTCCCCTATTCCCAGCCTTCCACTTATTGAACATTTACTCAAGCACTAAGCAAAATAGTTCATATGTGGCTGTCTCACTTAAGCCCTAAGATAACCCTATACGAAAACCACTACTATTGTTTCAGGAGACAATATTTGCAGACCAGGAAATAGAAGCAGTTTTCTATTTTTATTTCTAATGAAATGACCAAATTAATGAGGGAGAGGAGCCGCTGTAAGTTGGAAGTCTGTTACTTAACCATTTTGTCCTTTACCAACCATCTCTGAAAACTGCTGAGTTTTAAGTAAATTTGAATCCTCAAAGGGGCAGGAACTGACCCCTCTGAGATTTAAAGACTTCTCTCATTTACGAAAGGGGACTTGGGGCAGTTTTCTGGAAAGGAATAATGTATTCAACCTTGGTATAAGTATTATTGGCTCCAATCGACTGCCCTAGGTATCTGCTAGAGGCATATACACAAGAGGCATGTACGGTCTTCTTTCCTCCCCAAGGGTGTGAATAGATTTCTACAACTGAGGATTTAGAACAAATGAGTTATAGCAAGGTTGATTTTAATCCAAGTCAGCAAGAGCTCTCTCTCTGACTGGCCTTCAATAATATGCCAAACAACCAGGAGCAGGAAATTTTCTGGTGTGCAAAGGAAATTTTAGGGTAAGATGGCATATTAGAATCAAAATAGATAACCTTTCAGAAACATTAACAGGAATAATGATTCCTGAGGGTTCGTGAGGGGTGGGGGCTGGCTGATAGCATAGGTGACTGTATAACCCCACTCAAGGTGAGAGAGAACAACAGAATTGTATGTGGATGGATATATTGAATGGTATAAGATATGGCCAAAAATAAATAAATAAGGATTCCTAGGGGAGGTGGGGAGAGATAAAGGGGAGCTGATCTCAAGGATGCCAAGAAGGAAGGAAATGTCTTGAAACTGACTGTGGGAGCAATTGTACAATACTGCTTGATGTGATCAAATGATGGAGAGTTATGATATCTGTAACAGCTCCCAATAAAATGAACAAAGAAAAGAATCAAATAGCATTTCAATTCTCTTTAAAAACTGAAAATAAGATTCCATGATTTCTAAAAGCAATTATTTTGAAGGGAAAAGAGGAAGAACCTGCTGATAATCACATCAAAGTCTCCTGCTAAGCTTTTAAAAATTATATCTGGCAAAGTAATTGTCAAATGAAAAAAAATACTTGTTGATTGGTACTAAGTGAAATAAAGATCAGGTATAGACATAGTAACTAAGACATTATCTAGATACTTGTGCATATTTTAGAGATAGAAGTAGGTGAGATGTGAAATCACCAGGAATATGTCAGGGAACTCAGGAACCCCTGGGTTAAGAAAGTTAGAGACTAGAAGGGAGAGACTTTTAGGAATAGAAATGCCATTGTTCTAGGATAACTATCGTATCTCCAACAGGAAATCGCTGTGTGGATGAATGAAAATAGTTCACACCTGCAGGAAAGGATCATGGTAATCATTAGCAGAGTGCTAGCTTTCGCATCCCAGAAATCCAGGACTTACGTAAGTTACAGCGTGTAATCATGCCTCGTGATTCTGATTCTAGAACACTGCCTTCCAAGTCTTGTGTCTTGAGAGTGTTGGGTGCCTGTTTGATCTTATTGTGCAGGTAGGTTGGATGTCAGAGAAGAATGTCTTATAGGATTTTATCTGGGTCAGAGAAGTGTTTCTCAAACGACTAAACATCTTGTGCTTTATTTAAATGGTGTCAAAATCAGGTCTTCACTGACTCATTGGATTCTCCTTTATGAACCACAATTACTGTTATTCATAGTCATATGTATATTTCCATCATTTTTTTCCTAAAATGCACTTTTGAAGTGTTATGTATTAGTTGAAAAGTTATGTAATTCAATAATACTACCATTGCAAAACATGTTCGAGATGAGCAGAAGTTTTGCTTCATTATGCTCTCAAGCTCCATGTGGTATGATAGATGTCCTGCCAAAGCCCTCTCTCTATTGTACACACTCACACAGGCACACGCCCACGCCGAGACATAGCTGCTTTACTGTCTCTCTTTACTAAACTTCCATCATTTCTATACAGTTCTTCAAGTTCCTTTTTTTAAAGCAATATGTCTTAACCAATATTTTCATGTCAATGTATATAGATTAACTTCTCTTATTTAATCATAGCACATATTCCACAGTCTTTAGGTATTTTTAGGTATTTATTAAACTCTTTGGTTGTTGAACACTGGTATATTTTAGTTTTTTCCTACTTCAAACTATACAAAAATGGATATCTTTGTACAAATGTGCAAGGACAAATTCATCTTTCTTTAAAAAAACAATGAGAAAGATAATAGTGAAAAAGTAGGTATAGATTAAATTTTAGTTATGCATACTTTTCTTCCAGTTAGTATTCACGTGAATATTAGAGTGTTCATTGTGTACACCTTAACTGCACACATTGTGTACACCTTAACATTGTGTACACTGGATGTTTTCTGCTGAAGAATGAATAGCCATCTCGTCACTGCCAACATTACCTGAGGCTTACTGTAGTTTGAATGACATCTTCTCCTACCTTCTCAGATATCTCACACCGTCTCACTTGTAGATCTGCTTTTTAAGTCCTCCTTTTTGGTGGCTTTCAAACAGACTTCATTAATTTCTTTCCTGATAATCTGAAATTATTTCAGTAAGAGCTTAAAATAAAGGGCATCAGAAACAAACTTATAGGATGCTACTTTGATGTATCTGTTTTCTATTCCTTGTACTAACAGTCTAGAGGAGCCCTGGTGGCATAATGGGCCCTGAGTTGGGCTGCTAACCTCACATCAGTAGTTTGAAACCACTAGCCAGTAGAAAGATGTGGCTTTCTACTCCTGTAAAGGTTCGCAGTCAGTGAAGCCACGGAGGCAGTTCTACTCTGTCGTGTAGCTTCCCTATGAGTCCAAACTGACTAGATGGCAGTGAGTTTTGTTTCTGGTTTGGTGCTAACAGTAACTACACATCGATAAAAACCTGCCTATGCTTTATTTTGTCATTCTTAGTCTGTAACATTGAACTGATATTCTTTCATAGAGACTGTTCAGCACAGATTAGAACAGTCCCATAGGGTATTCTAGTCTGTAATCTTTCTATAGCAGATCACCTAGTCTTTACCCCTGCACTGGGTGAATTCAAACTGCCAACTTTTTAATTAGCCACCTAAAGCATAACCATTGTGCCATCGGGGATAATTGATCAGTTTTATAAGACACACAAATTTTAATTGTCTTGTTTAAAATCAGCTTTGGAAGACAGACATAATTTATTTAAATGAGGGAATATATATATGTTCTTTATAGTATGCTGATCCCCTATTTCAGTGGCCAAAAGACGGGTTGAATGACTTGTTTAAACTATCTGGTTCTCCAGTCTGGAGAGAAATCTCCCTCAACTTCTTACAAAACCTGGGCTTATCCATTCAAGTGCCTATAAATTTATCATTGATAATGTTGTAATTAAGGCTGGAGATTAAGTGTAGTTCACTATTCTAGCATGCTTTCTGCACAGTATCTAACATGCTACACACTAAACAAGTATGTAAGGTCAATTTATTGACTAGGGCCTATTCATACAATTCTCTCTGAATATACACATTCTAGTGATTTTTCCAGGTAGCAGGAAAATCGTTTTATTTTCCCCCTCTTCCTCCTCCTCCCCCTCCTCATCTTCCTACTCTCTCCTCCTCCTTCTTTTCCTCTTCTCTCTTTCCATTACTGTAGCAAAGTTCATTCTCCCAAGCACATCACTCAAGTGTAAAAGAAAAAATATTTAAATTTACATGTGCAACAAAAATCTCTCAGAAGCTGTTAATTGAGGTACCTAACTTTTCCTCCTGGGATGCTACAATAGAAACCTATGGGAAACGAAGTAAAATCATGTACTGCTCTGCTATGCAATGTTCACTAAGTACCACCAGGTGGAAGCACATCGGCGTTTAGTAAAGCCGTAAGCGTTGACTGAGTCAACCAGCTATCAGCTACTGGAGAGGTAGAGTGATTAAAAACAAACAAACAAAAAACATGGGAGGCAGGAGTAAGGAGCATGGGAAGAGATTAAAAAGAGTAAACTTTGCAATTCTCCCAGATGTTTCAATCGGACTCTAACTTTTACTATCAAAATGTATCCCAACCATCAAGGCACTAAGACTCTATAGGGCGCGCTAGCAGTGTGCCGAATCTGCAAATGCATAGCCCTTTTTGGCTTAAAAATATCCCCCATGAAATTGGGAGGGGAGGGTGGTAATTTATAAAATAAAAATGATTTCCCACCTCTCCTCTCTTCTCTAGTATCTCTAGTTTATTAATATTTGATCTCACCAAGCATGTCAGCCAAGAAGAAAAGATAAATATCTGAGCAGCCAATGTGTTTAGAAAATTGTAGGAGAAAGAATACATAAATGTTGGATTCGTTGTTGTGACATGAGAAAGAAATGCTCAAAGAAATGCTCCGAGTATACAAAAGAGGACCGGCCCCAGTCCAAGTCAGAGCATCCCAGGAGGAAAAGCAGCATTTCTCAGTAACTCACCAAGTCCTCGGAATTGCTTCACAGAGAGAGAAGAGAGCGTGCACCTTGCTGGACAATCACTCACCCACCGTGCACCTGGAACTCGGGATTTGCGCCTTGCAAATTGTTGTCCTCGTTATGGAATGGAAATTAGCATTGATTGAGTCATTGTTCGTTCCAAGTTCTTATGACCTATCTTGTCATAAATATTACCCATTAATACCCACAACAACCACTAAAATGTTAGTTACCTTCATGTCACAAATGAGGAAATCACTTGAGCCTTAGCAATATGCCAATATTGGAATGCACATTTTCCTAATCCTGAAGCTCTCTCTGATGATAGTTTAATTCCTAAGAAGAACACATGCAGACATTTAATGTCAATCACACATATATGCGTTTTCTCCTGTGTGATTCTCTGTTAGCCAAGTGTGGATGCTCCGTGTTTGGGTGACCTGGCGGCAGAGCTGGCCCTTCTGTGCAGTCATTTTAATCCTGCAATCACACAACAAGCATCCTTGGGAATGTATCACCTCCTCTGTATTGCGAAAAGCCAGAATGGTAAGAGGACTCAGCATTTTCCACAGGGTTACTAAGAATCTGTAGCTAATTAGGCTACTTAGAGATCCCTTGGAAGGCTTTAGCTGTTGATTTCTAAATGTTGCCTGTTCTAAGTTTTGCTTTACTTTCTGATATGGTTTTAAATCCTTTTAAATTGTCGAGAAATTCCAGTCATGCTATATTGTGCTAACTATAGATGGTTCTCCAAGAGCTGTGAAGTCAAGTGTTAGACAATTGATGTGGAAACGGGAATATTGGGTAGCTGGAGTGAGGGGGGTGTGTGGAGAAAAGAAGTACCAAATGACTCTTTAAAAGGAGCATTTTCACCTCTAAACCACCGCCAGTGTTTTTAAATGATTGCAATTTCTAAGAAAAGCTTTAGGGCCCACTCACTGTCAAGAATATAGAAAGAATCTTTTCAATTGAGGTTTTTCTTTTACTTTGTTATCATTGTTAGCTATTTTATTGTTTTTACTTGTTTGTTTATATTTTGTATTCTTTTTCTCTATGTGAAATCCAAGGTATAGAGACAATAAGTATATAGAGACAATAATTGGATTAATGTTTTCTTGGGGGTTTGGCAGAGGAGGTTGTGGGGAAATAATAACAGTACATGCAATAAAGAAAAAATGATTTTAAAACTTTTCATGATAGGATTGAATTATTGAATTGTATGATGAATGGATTATGTTCCAATAATCTGTTTTAAAATGTCTCACTTTTAAAAAACTAATATAAAGGAATGGAGTTACTTCAATATAGTCACAGATCCTTCAGATCAGAATTGCTAGGCATAAAATATTAGAAACATACAAAATATTATCTCTGACCACAACAGTGAAGCTAGAAATTAATTTTAAAAATTTTAATGTCTCCAGCCCTTTGTGTAAGTAACACATGTTTAAACTACCAGTGGATCAATGAAGAAAACAAAATGTCATAGAATCAAATTAAAATTAAAGACCAATATACCAATGTACTTATGGGATGCAGCAGAGGTAGTACTCAGCATGAGACTTACAGCAATGAATGCTTTCATGGAAATAGAAAAAGATTTTAAATCAACCGTTTAACTGAACAACTTCAAGAACTAGAAAGAAAAGAGAAACCTACGCCTGAAATTACTAGAAGAAAGGAAACAGCAAAGATGGTAGCAGAAGTAAATAAAATAAGCAGAAAAACAATACAGAGAATCAATAAATCCATAAGTTAATTCTTTGAAAATGGACTTTTTTTCTAGACTGTCAAAAATAAAAGATGCAAATAACAAAAAATGAGAAATGAAAGATGTGCTCTTACAAATGGCCTGATAGAAATGAAGAAAACTATTAAAGAATTATAGACAATTATGTAGACACAAACTGGATAACCCAGAAGAGATTAATATCTTGGAAGAACATAACTAGTGGTCTTAATAGAAGACAGAAAGTCTCAACACACCCATAACAAGTGAAGAGGTTGAATCAGTAATCAAAAACCTACCAACAACCACAAAAGTCTTGGGCCAGATCGTTTCATTGTAGAGTTCTAATAAACATTTAAAGAAAAATTGACAGAAACATTGTTGATACCCTTTCAAAAGATAGAGAGGGAAAGACTAATCTCTAATTCATTCTAGGAAGCAAATGTTCTAAGACTAAAGCCAAAGACACCAAACACACACACACACACACACACACACACACACACACACACAAACAACATGGAAATATTTCTTATGAATATAAATGCAAACATCCTCAATAAAATACTAGCCAACAGAATCCTACAGTATATTAAAAGAGACATATGCCAATTAAGATTTATTCCAGGACTGAATGGTTCAGCACTAGAAAAGCAATCAATATGTGATACTAAACCAATAAAACAACAAGCAAGTCACATGGTCTTCTCTATGCATGCAGAAAAAGAATTTGATGAAATGTAAAAAATTTGAAAACTCTCAAACAGATTGGAATAGAAGGGAAATTCCTCAGTGAAATTCAAAGCAGATATGAAAAGCCAACATTATAAGTTGGGAACAGGACAAAACTACCTGCTATCACCACTTCTATTAAATATTATGCTAGACATCCTAGGTACAAGAGAAAAAAATTTAAGATGCCTATTCTGGAAAATAAGTAAAATTACCTCTATTCAAGGATAATATGATCCAAGACATAAAATAATCCTAGAGTTCACAAAAAAACATATATTTATAGAGAAATTAAACAAAGTTTCAGGGCAGAAGGTCAACAAAACTCAAAGAGAGGTTGGGGAAACAATCCTGTTTACAGTGGCAATTAAGAGAATAACAGAATTTAAGAATACATTCAGTCAGAGCATGAAAGACATTTACAATAAAAATTATAAAACATTGCTGAAAAAATATCAAAGAAGACTTAAAAAAATGGAAGAATGTTCTTTGTTCATGAATGAAGACTTAATATTTTAAAGATGATAACTCATAGGTTTTATAGATTCAATTTAATCCCAATTTATAGATTCAATATCACTCCAATCATATTCCAATAGCCTTATTCATAAAAATGGAAGAACCCATCTTCTACTTTATAAAGGATTATAAAATGCCTTGAATAACTAAAGCAATGTTGAAAGGCAATAACAAAGTAAGAAGAATCACACTTCTTGATTTTAGAACATGCTATGCTGTTACAGTAATTAAACTAGCTGGGACATGCTATACTACTAGATTAATTTAAAAAGCTGGGACATGCTATACTGCTACAGTAATTAAACTATCTGGGACATGCTATACTGCTACAGTAATTTAAAAAGCTGGGACATGCTATACTGCTACAGTATAAACTAGCTGGTACTTGTGTAACAATAGAATTTACTTGGATCCACGATGAACACACATGGAAGCAGCAGTCAAGACATCAAACGATCCATCCCATAGGGCAACTCTGCTGAAAACTACCTGTTTAGTCTTTAAAGCCAAAGATGTCATTCTGAGGTCTGAAATGCACCTGATTCAAGCAAGGTATTCTCATTTGCCTCATATACATGCGAAACCTGGACAGTAGAAAAGGAAAAACAGGCTTATGTGGAGAGCAAATGTTTTGAGAATGATGAAGGTAACGAATGTACAAATGTGCTTTATACAATTGATGTATGTATGGAGTATGATAAGAGTTGTGTGAGCCCCCAATAAAATGATTACCAAAAAAAAAGAAAAGGAAGAACAGATAAAAATGGATATATTTGAGTTATGGTGTCAAAAAAATATTGAATATACCTTTGGCTGCCAGAAGAGCAAACAGGAGAGGGCTTCAAAAGTTGTGAGAAAATCCCATCATCTGCATGTCTTGGAAAAAGTGTAGTCAGAATACTTTAAAAAAAAACACTTTTATTGGCACTTAATCCACCTATCACATAACTCAATTATATCAAGAAGAATTGTACAACCATTACCACCATTAAATTCAGAATATTTTCTTTCTCTCCCCGTCCGCCCCCAATTATTAAACAGCCTTAGAAATGAATTGTGTCATCGCCTTCAGTTCTAGTGCGTACTCCCCTCCTGCTTGCATCGTTTACTCCTAAAATGCCCTCTCCCCACACCGACCCCTGTGTTCCCCACCAACACTGGCGTCAGTTATTACCTCATTGCAATAACTGATTGCCTCTCTGCTTCTCAAACTGGCAAACCCATCAGACACAGAACAAAACCAAAATGAAGTGCTAAGGAAAAAACAATAATAATATGAAGATAAAAATACAAACAATGAGTAAGGAAAAGGACCAACATCAAATAGTTTTAAAACCAAGGAAGAAATGTTTGTCATGGAACAAGATCCTTGCACCTAGAACAAATTCAGGTTGCGTCTAAAGAGAGGTCAACTGACCAAGTCTGATCCAGTATAATCAGGACTACCATGATCTATGTTTGATGGTTAAGGCTGTTGCAGACTTTTGCCTGTGGCTAGAGGGGAGCTCACAGAGATTTACTCTGACTAAATACTCTGCAGATGGGTTTTGGGCTCCCACAGTCCTCCACAGCCTTCCACAAATTGAGTGCTCACAATTTTAACTCTCATACTTTCCCCTTCATCATATTTGAACTTTATTGTCATCTTTGAATCATACAAGCTGGTGTGCTTCTTCCATGGGGGTTTAGTTGACTCCTTGCTTAGATGGCTGCTTATTTGAATACAAGCCTTTAAGACCCCAGACACTATTCTATTCCAGTAGATAGCTGGGCACCATCTGCTTTCTTCCTCACACTTTGCTGTAGCACCCTTATCTTCAGTGATCATTTCATGCAGGTGAGTATCGAGCAGGGCCATGTTATCAGAATGAACTGTCCTTGGATTGGAGCGAGGGTTCAGGGTGGCCCATAATTCCCCTGCTTGTCGCTGGGATATGCACGACAGGTTTATTGTGGTGGTTGTATTATGACAAATTCAAACCCCATAAGGTCAGCTACCCGGACAACAGCAACAAACCAATTAGCAGACAACAAAAGACAACAAACAAACAAAGAAAAACAAGCAAACTAACGTCAGGAAAACAAAAACGTGGGAAACAGTAAAGTAAAATCTTGTCAATCATCCCTCCTGGGGCATAAGGCAGTTGCTCTTGTAACATCATCAGTTTACCAATGGCACAGCTCTCTGGACACTGTCGGTATGAGGAGTCTATTCAAACACAGTTGCACCACGAGCTGCAACCCCTGAGTTGTTGCTCCCCACAGTTCCATCTCCCATTGGATTAAGCTCTGTTTACCCTAGGAATGGGGGCTGGGGCCGGGGGGGAAACTTCCTAGATCAGTTCTTCCAAGTTCAAACCCCTACTCAAAGCTCAAAATCTGTGATGTTGCTGCAAGGGGGGGGCATGTGTGTACAGACACACACACACACACACACACACACACACACACACACGGGGGCGGGCACTGTTTGACCCAGCTTTGTCCCAATGTTGTATAAGCTCAAGTGGATGGTGTCCACCCATCTCCCCACTCTTAAAGAAGTGACCCCAGACAATGTGAGGTCTCCTCCTTCAGCATGGCTCCTGTGAGGTATATAAAAGGGAGGTGATGTATGGTTCATGGCCAGTAGGTAGCTTTCTCCCTTTGGTTCAGGAATTGGTCTCTAAGATTTAATTAATTGGTGTTTCTCTTTCTAGCAGTGGACTCATAAAATATTTCTCCTTCTGTGATTCACTTCACTCAGCATAATGGTTTCCATGTCCTTCCATATCATGCAGAATTTCATGGTTTCATCACTGTTTTTAGAGATGCATAGTATTCCATTGTGTGTATGTACATATCATAGTTTCTCTATCCATTCTTCCACCATTGGGAATTTGCACTGCTTCCAGTTTCTTGCAATTGTGAACTGTGCTGCTATAAACACTGGAGAGCATACATCCACGTGTGGCTCCTATTTCCTCAGGGCATATGCCTGATAATGGGATTGCTGGATCATATGGGATTCCAATTTCCAGTTGCTCGAAGTGTCACCATATCATTTTCCACAATGGCTGTGTGCATTCACAAGTCCCCCAACAGTGTTTATGAGTTCCAATCTCTCTATGTCTTCCCAGTGTTTGTTGTTTCCTCGGGGTTTTTTTTTTTTAGTGGGGGTGGGGGTGGGCAGGCAGGCTAGGATTGTGGGTATACAGTAGTATCCCATTGTGGTTTAAATTTGCATCTCCCTGATGGCTAGTAATCATGAACATTTTTTTCATATGTTTGTTAGCCATTAGTACTTGATTTTTGGTGAACTGTCTGTTCATCTATTTTTCTTATTTCTTAATTGGGTCTCTTGTTATTTTCTTATTGAGCTGTTGGCAATTAGCCCTTTGTCCTATGTGTCCATTGGTAAAAATTTTATACTACTCTGTGTGCTCTCATTTCACTCTCCTTGAAGTCCTTCGATGTGCATAAGTGATGTAATTTCAGCATGACCCAATAATCTTGTTTCTGCTGTGTGCTCCTCCTCCATTATACTGAGTAAGTCTATGTATGCCCTGCAATAGGGCCCTTAAATTTGTTCCTGTCTTCTCATTGATGACCTTGAGAGCTTTGGGGTCTACAGTTAAGTCTTTAATCCATTTGAGTTCTTTTTTTGTGCATGGGGAAAGGGAACAAAATACGTCTTAGAAGTGAGACTCATGAGATGGCATCTGACATATTTTGGATATTTTCTTAGGAGGGACCAGTCTCCGGAGACGGACATCCTGCTTGGTAAGGTAAAAAGTCAGGGAAAATGAGGAAGATGGTTGCACACAGTGACTGAAACGTGGGCTCAGACGAAGCAATGATTGGTGCAGGCCCGGACAGTGTTTTGGTCTTTTGTACATAAGCTCAATATGATTTGTAACAGGTGCAATGGCACCGAACAATAACAATGAACATGTGAAGTAAGGGCATGGAATAAAAATTTCAAAAGACCCAAATTGAACATCTAGAAATGAAAGCTACAATATATGAAATAAGAAATTATTTCATGGTGGACATTAACAACCTATTAGTCATTCCAGAATATAAGATTAGTGTTTGGTGATGGACAACATAATTATCAAGTATTAAGCAGAAAAGAATCTGAATAAAGTTAGCAGAACCTTACTGAACTATGAGACAACTTCCATCAGCTTAATTTAAGTGCAATTTACAATGCCAAAAAGGTAATTAAAAAAGAGAGAGAGATAGAGAAAACGTAATTTAAGATTGAAGATTGAAATTTTTCCAAATTTGATCAAACAAGATGAAAAATGATAAACTGCTGATTCAAGTATCTCAATGAAGTTGATTCAAATATCTCATTAGATCTCAAGTATCTGATGAAAACTACCTCGATGCATATGACAATCAACTTACTTATCAGAAAATCTTGAAAGCAGCACAGATTAATTTGCTAAAATCAAATTGCAACAACCAGTGATAAGAAGCCACAAGAAAAATAACTATATTATATGCAAAGAGACAAAGGTAAGGACGACAGACTTCTCATCAGACACAATGCAAGCTACAGGCAATGAAGAAACTTCATAAAACACTGAAATAAGCAAACACAATTTGTCAACCTTAAATCCTGTAACTAACAAAACCATCTTTCAAAAACCAAGGTGAATAAAGGTAGTTTTCGATATATGTAAGGGGCCTTTATAAATTTCATGAAAAAATAAAGTTGAAAAATAATGGAACTTTCCCACAAACTTTTTGAAGCCCTCTTGTGCAAGAGGTAGGATCTATCACCAGCACCTCCAGACTCCAGGGGACATTTAAGGAAATCCTCCAAAACTAAAAATTGAGGTTAAATGCAAACCTAAATCTGCACAAAGAAATCAAGAGTGGTGAAGATAACTAGCAGGTAGACATCAGAAGTTCTAATTATTTACTTCCCTTTGAATGATAATCAAATGCTTTATGAAATCATGGCAGCAACGTGAAAGCAAAGCACATGGCAACAGCAACAAGCTTTGAGAAGAGACATATAAGAATACAATGGTTAGGCGCTTATATTAAACATAAAATTCTGAAATGTCTCTTGAAAGTAGACTGTGCTGAGTTAGAGATGTATACTGAAGCATCCCCTAAAGTAGCATAGCAAATAAATGCATGTAAGAAGCCAAAATAAAGATAAAATGGAATTAGAAAATACTTAACTGAAAAGCAGAGAAAAACAGAGCTTGTCAGATTCACTGAAAAGCACAACTCAGCCATATGTTGACTATAAGAAACATGCATTAAATACAGAGGCACGTGAGAGAGAAGTCACAGGTTGGAAAAAGAGAAACTCGGCAAAAGAACGGGATAGGGGCAACACTAATATCGAAAATGGAATATCATATTAAAAGGAATGTTCTCCGGGAAAATGAGGGTCATTTCATAACAATAAAGGGTCAATTAATTAAGAAGATAGAACAATGTTAAATATGTTTTCACCTAAAAGCAAAAGTATATTATAATAAATTATTAACACTACAGTATGCAAAAACTGGTAGAACTTCAGGGAGAAATAGATAAATCCACAATTATGATAGTTTCAATAACTCATATATTAATTACAGAGAATATCAGTAAATATATAAAAAAATGATTTGACCTACTGGACGTCCAAAGAAAATGTCACTCAATAATGGGAAAATTAACATTCTTTACAAGGGCACATGAAACATTTTACAAGACAGACCATGCGCTCAACAAATTAAAAGGAATTTAAATTTAACAAATTAAAAGGAATAAATTGAATAGAACTTATTCAATTATAAATAAATTATCTGATCAAAATGGACCTAAACTAAAAATCAGCAGCATATACTCAAACTTACCAAACGCACACATCAAATATGCTGAATGTCTAGTATAAGTCTATATAACGCCCTCCAAACACTGCCACCCACTCAATTCCCACTCAGTGTGACCCTATCGAAAACAGTAGAGCTGTTCCATAGGGTCTCCAAGATGTAAATCTTTAAGGAAGCAGGCTTCCTCATCTTTCTCCCTAGTGGTGGCTGGAAAGTTAGAACAACACTCACTGAACTGCTCTGGCACCAGGGCTCCTTATTTCCCAATATAATGGTTAACAAAAATGCACACAAATCAACAAAACCATGTAAAACTTACACCTTCTCTGAAATGATAGACAAATGAACCTGATGTCTTAGTTGAGAGCTTCCGGGTAACCCACTCCCTAAACTAACTTTTTAAAATATTCACTTATTTTTATTTATTTTTCCTTCAGACCATTTTGTTAGGACCCAATCCAGGCCTCATACCATCCCATGGTTTAGTCATATCAAGCAGTGCTGTAAAATTGCTATCACAATCTTTTTCCAAGTATTTTCTTCCTCCTGGTACTCCTTGAAATCAGCTTCCTCTAACCTCTGATACATCCCCTGCTGTACCCCTCAACCCTAGGAGCCCTTATTCTAGTTTCCTATACTGCAAAACATAGAAAAATACTAACACAGAATCAAGAAGGTTATGATGACAAGATATGAGATAAATCCTAGTATGAAAAAAAACTCCAGAAAATATCAAAGACTAGATCAAGCACAAAGTATATCAAAAGAGAGATCAAATGTCAAGGTTTTAACCACTCGTCAGATTTATCATTTTAAACTACTGCAGTCCTCTCTCCAGTACGCTCTGCCTGATAACCAGCTTATCCCATACCTCAATTACGGTTAGAGTGAAATCCCCAGAGCCTTATTCCCTGTGTAGGTCCTGAAAACGTGCCTCCAAATCTGCTCTTCCATCGGATTACCAATAGATTTTCCAGTGCAGTGAGCAATGAGTTTATGGGCTACATGTGTTTGATTTATGGTCATCCTATTAAATGTATCTACATTCTTCATTCACTTTTCACATAGGCTCTTAAATATTTTATCATTCTGGGTCAATATAGTGAAAATATTCATTTTCCTAAATGAGCAGCCTAGTGTTATTCAGAAAACTCTAGATCTCCAGAATTGGGCAGGAAGGAAAAATGGAAATTGGTGTGCCACCAGAAGTAACTGGAGATCAAATGATAACCTTATTGTTTCCTTAAAACAGCTGATATTTTCCAAGGAAGCACAACGGATAAATCTAAAAGCCACAGTAATGCCATAGCTTCTTCTACTGATTTGGAATTTCTTCCCAAGGTTTTACAACGAGACAAAAGTAAAATTGCTCAGGTAACTAATGTAGCACCACTTTCCCTATGATTTTGTTTAATGTGTATTGTTACTTTAAGTGGCAACTTACTACAAGTTTATTTTTAAATAAATATGCCTTCTTTTTAAAGTCCAGAAAGACAAAGGGTAAATTATATGGATAGCATTTGATGTACTAATCTTATCCCTCTTAATAACAATTATACTTATTATTTACAAGTATTGCCATTAACATCTTATTTAATCCTTATAGAATGCAAATGAGGTAGTTATTTCCTAATTTGGGCTTCTATTTTTTGGAAGATAAAAGTTATGTTTCCTTTCCTTTTTTTTCATATTCAGAAGAGTTCTATAATCAACTTTGCACCCAATTTTCGGGCATTTCTTCTTCCTTGTGCTCATTGTAGGTAGCTCCCCCTTATCCACCAGTCTCCTTTTCCATGTCCCTAGGAGAGTTTAATCCAGTTGCTATCTCTATAGATTTATCCACCCTGGAGTTTATGTACATAAAAATACACAAAACCCAACCAAACCCAAAGAAACAAACAAAAACAGTCCAACAATGACAGGATAAAATGGAGAAAAACCTCAATGAAAAAGAAAACAGAAAATGTGAAAAACTGGAATAAATATTTACTGGATCAAATGGGAGATCAAATGTCAAGGTGTCACATTTTAACTTAATTACAACTTCAGTACTGCACCCTCCAATGCCTCTGTCTGACAACAGGCCACTCCCATCCCTGGTCCACAGTCTAGGAGAGTCACTGGAGGCTTAATGCACAGGGGGCGGGGGGGGGGGAGTAGAGGGGAACCCTACAAATGGGTTTTAGGTTTTCACTGTTATCCATAGTCTTCTGAAAGCTATTTAAGCTCTTATAATGTTTCGTCCTCTGGATTTTGAATTTATTATTTATAATCCTTGCATCACACAAGTTGGTATTCTTTTGTGTGGACTTAGCGGATGCTTTGTTTAGATGACAGCTTGTTTTACAACAAACCTTTAAGACCTGAGACACTATTCTTCTTCATAGCCAGGAACCACCTGCTTTATTCACTATACTTTGCTTTGGCACTGATCTCTTTAGTGATCTCTTCAGGAAGACAAGCCATGTCACTAATTGTTCTTGGATTAGGGATACAATTAAGTGAGAACTCAGTCCATTCATATATCTATGGTTAATATACGTCCCTGGTTCGCATTAAAGACATCATAATTATTTTATTGCAAATCATCCCTGTGGGGCACATGAGGGGGTACCCCCCAAAAAAACAAACAAACAGAATTGCGCTGGCAGAGCGGAGCTTTTGTGTTTTTCCCACTAAGCAAGCATCAAGCAACTCACTCTGAGTTAGTGCACCCAGTGGTTTTGCCTGGGAAATTTATCTCTGGTCACAGTGGATTTTTTTGTTAAAGCAGTCTTTTGCCTGAGCCTCAATTTTTGTGATGGTCAATTTAAGAGAACAGCATACAGCGGTGACATGTTGTTTCCCGCTTGGAAATGCGGCAGAAACTGATGTGACATTGAACACAGCTGACAAGGACAGCGTGATGGGCAAAGCTCAAGTGTGCAAGTGGTGTTCTTGTTTCAAAAGAGGTGAAATGCTGATCGATGACAAACCTCGTTCAGGACATCCGTCAACTTCCCAAATGAATAAAAATATCAACTCATAGTGCATTTAGAGTTCTTTCCACCAGGTCAGACTGTTAATCAAGCTTCTTATTTAGAGGTTCTGAAAATATTGTGCAACCGTGTGTGACAAAGAGGCCTGATTTGTGGCAGACAGGGCACTGGTTTTGCCACCATGACAATGCACCTGCTCATGCAGCCATTTCAGTGTGCCAGTTTTGGGCAAAAAACAGCATGCCTCTCTTGCCCCATGCACCTGACTAACCTGACCTTGCTCTGTGCTACTTCTTTTTGTTTCTGCGAATGAAGAAGGACACGAAAGACCAGCGATTTGATGATGTAGAAGAGGTAAACGAAAAATAAGGGTAGTGCTGTCAGTCATCCAAACAGATTAGTTTGAAAAATGTTTCCAAGAATGGAATCACAGATTTGACAAATGTATTAAGTTTAATGGAGAGTACTTTGAAGGCAATAAGGTTGTGTTATTTTCAAATATTAAACACACAACTTTGTGGGGAAGGAGATCTGGTTTTCAGGGGTACCCCCTTGCATAATAGTTCTATTGATATTAGCCCTTAATTTAGACAATGGTATAGAATTTAAAGCACTGTTGAGATAAAGAAAGCATGCATGCATAGGATTATGTTTTAGACCAAAATACATTAATTGTTGCATTTTACATAACATCACTATAGCTGGCTGGACATTATCTATATAATCAATGAGGGATGGAAATAGTACAAAGCTTTCAATAAAGCTCATTCACAAAGGCAGAACTATGCCTGTTGGAAGAAAAGGTCATCAAAAGGCAAATGGAGTTTGAAAACAGCACATATATAATCGTTTTCAGTTGCCCTTTATTGGGCATGTTCAAAGCAAGAATTTTGAGCCAAAATCCAATGCATAGCCTTTGGAGAGTAATCATCTCTTTTTATCATGCTGAGACCTTTCAGCCTTAAACCAGGGAGAATTTCAGTTCCTTTAATCTATTAATTTGACGTTCTGTGCTGGTTTGCATGTCTCTGTGATTATGGAAGCTCTGGCGCTGGTATTTCAAATGCCAGATGCATCACCCAAAGGGAAGAAGTTTCAGCAGAGCTTCCAGACTGACCACTGACTACAAAACATGAACAGACTGTCCACTTCTGAGGAATTAACCATGGAAAACCTTAGGGACAGAATTAAAACATTGCCAGATCCTGAAAATCTCATGAGAAGAAGGAGAGCATTGTTAGAGAGTGTCAGAAGATGAGCCCCGCAGGTCAAAAGGCACTCAAAATATGACTGAGGAAATGCTGCCTAATAATGAGGATGAAGTAAAGCCTACAGAAGTAAATCCCTCGGGACCTTCATTTGCTGATGGGCACAACCCAAAATGAGGAGAAACACTGAAAACATCAATTAATAATCAGATTTTGGAATACACAAAGTATCCAATCCAGGAACTAGAAATTGGAACACATAAAATTGACATTCTAGGCATTAAGGAGCTGAAATGAACTAGTACTAGCCATTTTGAATCAGAAAATCATATGATTTACTATCCTAGGAATGATCCACCAAAAGTGAAGGTATTGTAGTCATAGTCAAAAAAGGACATTTCAAGCTCTCTTTTGAAGTACAGTGCTGTCTGTGATAGGATTTTATTTATCCAAATTCAAGAAAAGCCAATCAATGTAACTATTATTCAATTTCATACACCTACCACTAAAGCCAATGATAAAGAAATGGAAAAATTCTATGCCTGATCAAACATTCAATCAAGACGCATTAATAATTATTGGTGATTTGAACACAAAAGTTGGAAACAAAGAGGAAGGTATAGTTGTTGAAAAATATGGCCTTGGTGATAGAAGCAAAGCTGGAGAAATTTGCAAAAGCAAAGCTTAGTTCATAGCAAATACACTTTCTTAACAACACGAAAGGTGATTATAAAAGTGGACTTTTCAGATGGAATACATAGCAATCAAATAGATTGTATCTGTGGGAAGAGAAAATGGGGAAGCATCAACATCAGCAGCTAAAACCAGGCCGGGGATGACTATGGAAAAAAACATCAATTGCTCACATGTAAGTTTAGATTGAGACTGAAGAACATTAAAACAAATCCAAGAGAGCCAAAATATTACCTTGAACCTATCCCACTTGCAATTCTACCTTGTAAATCTGGCTAGAGCAGTGCATGTACGCGGGTACAGATAGGAGCTCGCAACATAAGAAATCCAGGACAGATAAGCACCTCAGGACCAATAATGAGAGTATCGATACAAGGAAGGGAAGGGGAATGTTGGGGGAGAAAGGGGAAACCAATCCCATGATTGACATATAAGCCCCTCCTAGGGGGATGGACAACAGAAAAGTGGATGAAGGGAGACAGCATTACAAATAATAATTTATAGATTATCAAGGGTTCATGAGAGAGGGAGGGTGGGATAAGGGGGAATGAGCTGATACCAAGGGTTCAAGTAGAAAGAAAATGTTTTGAAAATGATGACAGCAGCATATGTACAAATGTGCTTGACACAATGGATGGATGGATTGTGATAAGAGCTGTAAGAGCCTCCAGTAAAATCATTTTATTAGGGGCTCCCACAACTCTTGTCACAATCCATACATACATCAATTGCGTAAACCACATTTGTACATTCATTTCCCTCATCATTCTCAAAACATTTGCTCTCCACTTAAGCCCCTGGCATCAGGTCCTCATTTCCCCCACTCCCTCCCCACAACCCCCTCCCTCATGAACCCTTGATAATTTAAAATTATTATTTTGTCATGTCTTATACTGTCCGATATCTCCCTTTACCCACTTTTGTCCGTCCCCCAGGGAGGAGGTTATATGTAGATCCTTGTAATCAGTTCCCCTTTTCCACCCCACCCTCCCTCCACCCTCCCAGTATCGCCACTCTCACCACTGGTCCTGAAGGGATCATCCATCCTGGATTCCCTGTGTTTTCAGTTCCTATCTTTACCAGTGTACATCCTCTGGTCTAGCCAGCTTTGTAGGGTAGAATTGGGATCATGATAGTGGTGGTGGGTGGGGGGAGAAGCATTTAAGAACTATTGGAAAGTTGTATGTTTCATCATTGCTACACTGCACCCTGACTGGCTCATCTCCTCCCTGAGACCCTTCCGTAAGTGGATGTCCAATTGCCTATAGATGGGGTTTGGGTCTCCACTCCACACTACCCCTCATTCACAAAGATATGATTTTTTGTTCTGATGATTCCTGATCCCTTCGACACCTCGTGATCACACAGGCTGGTGAGCTTCTTCCATGTGGGCTTTGTTGCTTCTGATCTAGATGGCTGCTTGTTTACCTTCATGCCTTTAAGACCCCAGATGTTATATCTTTTTATAGCTGGGCACCATCAGTTTTCTTCACCACATTTGCTTATGCACCGGCTTTGTCTTCAGCAATCATACCAGGGAGGTAAGCACACAATGATATGATTTTTTGTTCTTTGATGCCTGATAACAGATCCCTTCGGCACCTCATGATGACGCAGGCTGGTGTGCTTCTTGCATGTGGGCTTTGTTGCTTCTGAGCTAGATGGCCCCTTGTTTACCTTCAAGCCTTTAATACCCCAAACACTGTATCTTTTGATAGCCGGGCACCATCAGCTTTCTTCACATTTTCTTATGCACCTGCTTTGTCATCAGCGATTGTGTAGGGAAGGTGAACATCTAAAATGATTGTTTTTAAAAAGAGCAGATTTGATGTATTGAACACTAATGACAGAAGAGCTGAAAAGCTGTGGGAGGACAAGAAGCTCATACATGAAGAAAGAAAAAGTCATTAAAAAGACACGAAAGAAAAGATCAAAGGTGATGTCAAAGAGACTATGAAATTTGCTTATTTATAGAGTGGCTAAGGGACTTGGAAGATATAATGTGGTCAAAGAGCTGAATAGAAAATTTCAAAGGACAGCTTGAGAAGAGAAAGTAAAATATAATAAAACATGTAAAGACCTAGAGTTAGCAAACCACAAAAGAACACACTCAACATATCTTAAATTGAAAGAACTAAAGAAAAAAATTCACATCTTGAGTTGCAATTTTGGAAGATTATATGGGCAAAATTTTGAATGATGTAGGAAGCATCAAGAGATGATAGAAAGAATAAAGGAGAGCCTTTGTAGCAAAAAGAAGAATGAGTAGACATTCCATCATTTCAGGAGGTGGCATATGAGCAAGAACCAATGGTACTGAAGGAGGAAGTTCAAGCTATTCTGAAAGCATTATCCAAAAACAAGACTCCAGAAACTGATGGACTACTAATTGAAATGTTTCAATAAGCTGATGAAGTCCTGGAAGCACTAACCTATGCCAAGTAATTTGTAAGACAGACACCTGGCCAACTGACTAGAAGAGATTCAGATTTGTGTCATTACAAAGAAAGGTTACATTATAAAACAATATCATTTTTAAAAATTATTTTATTGGGGGCTTGCATAATTCTCATCAAATCCATACATACATCCATTGTGTCAAGCACATATGTACATTCGCTGCCATCATCATTCTCAAAACATTTGCCCTCCACCTCAACCCTTAATATCAGTTACTCATTTTCCCCCTCCCTTCCCATCCCTCCCTCCCTCATGAACCCTTCATAATTCACAACTTATTACAGTTTTGTCCTATGTTACACTGTCCGACATCTCCCCCTGCCCTCTTCTCTGATGTCCCTCCCCCAGGGAGGAGGCAATACCTAGATTCTTGCCATCAATTCCCCCTTTCCACCCCACATTCCCTTCACCCTCCAGGCATCGCCCCTCTCACCACTGATCCTGAAGGAGTCATCTGTCCTGGATTCCCTGTGTTTCCAGTTGCTATCTGTACCAATGTACATCCTCTGGTCTAGCCAGATTTGTAAGATAGAATTTGGGTCATGAAAGTGGGAGGGGGGAAGTATTTAAGAACTAGAGGAATATCATTATTATCATAGGCAAATAAGATTCTGCACCCAACAATGGTTGCAGCAGTACATTGACAGGGAGCTGCCAGAGGTTCAGGCCAGATTCAGAAAAGGATATGGGATAAGTAATATCATTGCTGATATCATATGGACCTTGGCTGAAAGCAGAGAATACCAGAATTAGGTTTACAGGTGTTTTATTAAGTATGCTAAGGCATTCGACAGTGTGGAGCAGAACAAACTATTGACAGTCTTGAGACAATGGGAAGAAAAGAACACTACATTGTGGTCATGTGGAACGTGTACATGAATCAGAAGGTAGCTGTGTGAAGAGAACAAGAGCATACCGAATGGTCTGAAATCAGGAAAGGTGTGCATCAGGATTGTATCCACATACCATACTCATTGAATCTGTATACTGAGTAAATAACAGAGAACCCAGATTATATGAAGAATTCAGCATCAGGATAGGAGGGTGACTTATTAATCACCTGTAATATGCAGGTGACACAACATTGATTACTGGAAGTGAGGAGGTCTGAAAGCACTTGCTGGTACAGATCAAGGATTGCAGTCTTCAGTATGGATTGAAATTCAATGTAAAAAAAAATCTCACAACTGGACCAGTAGGTAACATCATGATAAACTGAGAAAAGATGGAAGTTGTCATGGATTTCATCTTGCTTGGATCCACAATACATGCTCATGGAAGCAGCAGTCAAGCGATCAAATGATGCATTGCATTGGGTAAATCTACTGCAAAAGACCTATTTAAAGTGTGGAAAAGCAAGGCGCTTACTTTGAGGACTAAGGAGCGCCTGGCCCAAGCCATGGTATTTTCATTTCCCTCATATGCGTGTGAAGGTGGGACTTTGAATAAGGAAACTGAAGGGGAATTGAATTAAGATGCTGGTGAAGGATATAGAAAGCGCCATGGACTGCCAAGAGAGCAAACAAATCTGTCTTGGAAGAAGTACAGCCAGAATGCTCCTAAATGCAAGGATGGTGAGACTTGGTCTCAAGTACTTGGACACGTTGTAAGGAGAGAGATCAGTCCATGGAGAGGACATCTTGGTTGATGAAGTAGAGGGGAAGTGAAAAAGTGGAAGACTCTCAGCAAGATTGATTGACGCAGACTACATCGATGTGGTCAACATAAAATTGTGAGGATGGCACAGGATCATACAGTGTTACAGTTTACGGTAGGTAGGGTCGCTATGAGTAAGAGCCACTCAAGGACACCTACCAACGACACTAATCTTCTACAGCAGTGTTTCAGTTTGAATCCAATTCACTTTGTGAGAGTTCCAAGTTCACTCTTTCTGGCATATGAAGAAGTTATGTGATTCCAATGGACAGAGTCTAACGTCCTGGTTGTCTGTAGTACAAGGCCTGGGTCACCAATGCTTGAATAAAAATTGGTCAAAAGTGCCCAATTAGGACCATGATGCTGGGTTAATTCTCTTATTAGAGGTCTGTATATGTAATGTGGAGCATTTCCCCCAATGGTAGGCTACCCTACCCATTACGCTTCTTTTTGATGGGGAACTTGTGTTTATTTGCAAAATTAATTGAGTTATTAATCAGAAAATTTTTCAATGCTATTATAATTTACTCAGGAAATATCATAATAATAATGTGATGCAGAATTTCTTTTAAAAGTATATTAAATTAACACAAACAAATTTAAATGATATTCACTAACTCAATGCCATCAAATCAATTCTGACTCAAAGCAAACCTAGACGACATATAGAGGTGCCCCTGTGGGTTTCCAAGATGTAACTCTTCATAAGAGTAGACATCTGCGTTGTTCGCCTGTGGAGTGGCTGGTGGTTTCGAACTGATGACCTTGTGGTTTCCAAGGCATCCTCACTATGCCACCAGTGCTCCTAGCCATATACCTAGTAAGACACCCTACTACCAAGTAAATCGTTTTTACACTCTCAACCCACAGGATGAACCATAAAACTCTATCACTTTATGAACTGTCGCACCTTTTTCAAAGGACATGGGCTTATATACATTCCCAGAGTAGACATACCCAGGGAGCACAACTCTTTGAAACCACAAAACTTGTAAAAATCCCCAAGTTTGTTGTAACTGAATTGAATCAGATGGTGATAGAAGATCCATCTCAAATTATAGTGATCATTATGCCGAGTGCAATCCTTGCTTGGTAAATAATGAATACATTTGACTGCTAACCAAAAGGCCAGAGGTTTCAATCCACCCAGAATTGTCTCAAAAGAATGGCCCAGTGATCCAGTTCTAAAAAAAATCACCATTGGACACCCTATAGAGAACAGTTCTAATGGGGCTGCCATGAGTCAGAATCCCTTGGGACTTCTACACAATCCTATTTTGAAGATAATATTATTGAACACGTGGGAAGTGCCTAACTTCAAAGATAATTTTATGAAGATTGTATCCATTGAGCTATGAAGCAGAAATGTCCTGTGCTGAAAAGACAGCTGCTGTCTTGTGTGCTTTGTTTTAAAACACCAAAACCGTTATAAAATATCATTTGAATCCATATTGTATGAAGGAGGCATCTATGAAAACTGAGCTCCTAGAGCCGACAAAAGCCAGCGTGCAGCCCTCCATGGACTCAGACTCCAGTTCAGGTGCCTGAGTGTCGCCGTCTTTCTGCTGCATTGGTCTAAGTAAGGGCTGATGTCACCGTTCTCCTTTTTGTTTTTAGCATGTGGGATATAACTTAATACCCTCTTTGCTGACTGATTTTGTATGGAATCTCCTGATGAAACTCTCCAAACCTAATAATAAAACTGCGTCTGAGGCAGCATCCATGCTGAAATTGACTCTGGAGTACCACGCTGCTAAGGTCACCATGGTAAGAGATTCGGTAATGAGTATGTGTGTTCCCTAAAGCACTCTTGTTGTCTTTGCTGTATGCCTCCTTCTCTTCTAACATGATTCTCTGCATTGTTCACTCTGTCACCTTACTGCAATGTCACTACTTTGAGTGAAATATTTCAAGCATTAAGAATGGTCTAGAGCATAATGCAATGAACATTCAAATACCCACTCCCAACTGAACCCCCCGCTGCTCCCCATAGATGGAGTTCTCTACCCCAATACAGAGTTACAGTCTTAGAAACCCAAACGACAGTTGCACTCTGTCCCATAGGTCTCCATGAGTCCAATCTACTTAATGACAGTAGGTACAAAGGATTGAAAGGAAAAGGAAAAGGTTTTCCAGCTTTCTATTTCCTTCTGTCATTTTCCCCCAGTGTGATTGGCCGCTTCAGTAAGAGATTATGTACTTGCTTTGAACAATCACACATCAAGAATTCCTTGGAATTTTGGAGCCTGGTGGTATAATAGGAGCCCTGTTGGGTTAGTAGTAACATAATGAGCTGCAAATCACTAGCTCAGCCATTTGAAACCGCCAGCGGATCCTTGAGAGAAAGGCAAAGCTCTCTTGTCCAGTCAAGAGTTCCAGAGTTTCAGAAACACACAGGGGCAGTTCTACCCTGTCCTATTGGGTAGCTATGAGTCCAAGTTGACTCAATGGCAAGGAGTTTGGGTTTTGGTTTGGTGGTGTAGTTTCTAAAAAACCAGCCACTCCCTGGGAAAAAGATGAGGTTTTTTGCTCCCGTAAAGATTTACAGTCTCAGAAAACCATGGTTCTACCTTCTCCTGTGGGGTAACTATGAGTGAGAATCAACTTAATGGCAGTGAGTTTGGTTATTTTGATTTGAGGGTCTCGTGAGTGATTTATGTAAATGAAGGTGTACAAATGTAGCAATCTTACTTACATATTGCATGTATCTCTTTAACTCACACATATGGTCTATTGTCCATTGGAATTTCACTTACAAAATACAAGTCCAAAGATAATATTAAAAATTGTAACATAGTGACCAACTTCAAAATAATGCTTAAAAATTGAGCTACATGCTAGAAACGCCCAGTTTCTTAATGCAACAGTTATTTTCTTGTGCTTCTAGCATAGTTGCATGCTCAGATAATTGAATGTGTATACAATGCAATTGTATATTATTTAAAATTTATAGGAACCAACTTTTAAGTTTATAATACATAATGAATATTTTGATCTGGATTAATGAATTTTATTTTGAATATTTATACAACTATTCATTTAAGACAAATTCCAGGTCTAGCTTTAGCTCTCTTTGTTCAAGAATGAAGAAAAAGTAAAATTACATGAAAAAAATAACACAGAGCCTATGAAGAATTTGCAAGAGTACTTACTGCTCAGCATTTACCCTTCTTGATCATTCTCAGATACATGGTTCCTATTTTCACCATATGGAGTCAAATTTTTAATTTCAGAAAGATTTCTTGATGTATATAGTTCTATTGCTCTGCTTCATTGTTTTGGAATCTGCTTTAGGGACATAGATTATACATACATTGTTTTTACTGAACATGTATGACTTATAGAAAAACAAAAACCTCTTTCTCCTTCGCAAACATAACCTTTAAAAACAGAGTATTTTCCCATGATCCATAAATGTGTAGGCATATTTCTCACCCTAATAAATATTTGGTAGCATATAGACATACAAACAAGGATACTTACTATCAATGCTTATTTCCGTGTTCATTGCTTTCTTGGTAATTCTGAGAAAGACTGATTTCTCATGTCCAAGAAATGCCTTTTGTTAAAGGTCACCAAGAAATAGAAAACTCTTGCTGACCTTGCATTTCTCTTCCAGGTGTCTAAGATTGTGGATACTATTTATAGGAAATTGTGTCAAAATTCTACGCACATTACGAGTATTGCTATGCTACGGGTCATTGCCTTGTTGACACGAACTTCGCCAAAGAAAGTCATTTTTCAGCTTATGGACTATCCAGTCCCAGCAGACAAGTAAGTTCCCTTCCCCCTTCTCATGAGAGTTTTTCTGCAGGCCACAGAGTCAAACAGACCTGAGCTCAAAACGTGGTCAATCATATTCCGGTCTTGTCTTTTCCTTAAAAAGAAGGTTCACTTGCCCCTCTCATAGAAAGATGTAAAAACTGAAGAGCTGATAGCAAGGGCTCAAGTACAAAGCAAATGCTTTGAGAATGATGATGGCAACACATGTACAAATGTGCTTGATGCAATGGCTGGCTGGCTGGATTGTGATAAGAGTTGTATGAGCCCCCAATAAAATGATAAAAAAAACTACAAAGAAACAAAGATTTTGCAAAAAGAGAAAGATCTAAAACTCATGGGACCATTGGGAAAAGAGTGTCAATTTGTTGTAGAACTGCCTGCATAGTCTTTGGTTATGAAAGTGTAAGGCCAAGACTCTTTTTCCTGACTCATACTGCCGTACTGAGTAAGAAATGAAAAACCTGTGTCACTGTTGTGTGGGGACTGTGTTTGCAGCACTCTGGTACTGATGTGGCATGCTGCTAGTTCTGAAGCAAGTGTGGCCCCTCTTGTGATGAAGACGCTCCTGCTGATACTTAAAGGAAAGCCTGGGGAATCGAAAGACAGCCTAACAGGAAAAAGCCGCCCCTCTATGGACGAAACCAACATGATGCCTGTGGCGGTAAATAATGTGATCACTGATCCTTTTTATCAGCACTTGCTCAAATATGTCAAAGAATTCCAAATATGGCCATAGGATTCCTATTTCCTTGGCCCAGTCCTTTCATTTTTACATTCAGTTCATATTTCTTGAGTTTCAACTATGTGCCAGACGCTGATCATTCTACTTTCTTTCTGGTGAGAGAGAGACCATGAACAAAACGAGGGTGTCGTATGTTGGATGGTAAAAATCTTAAAACAAACCTAAGGTGGTGTGGGGGAAAGAGCGTGACAGACAAGCTTAGGTAAGTTGGTCACTGCAGGTCTCCCTGCTGAGGCCATATGTGATCTAACACCTGCTGTCGAGAAGGAGTGCTCCGTGAAGATATCTAGACAAGAGTTTTCTGGTCAGAGACGGACAAAATCCCTGCACTGAATGGGAAACCACTTGGTATGTCAAAGAATGCAAGTCAGCTAGAAAATCTGGAGTCAATTAAGCAACAACCAACGTTTAGAAAAGGGGTCAGCAAACTGTGTCCTGAGAGACATATGTGACTCTCTTGGTATTTACATGTGGTTCTGAAGTAAAATTGAAAAAAATTACAGGTTATTATTCAGATAATAGCCATGTAATTTGTTTGTAACAATATATGTATGGCTTGTGAAGAATTTTTTTAATTGTTTTGAAGGACAGAATTGGCTCTTCAATGTCAAAAGTTTGCTGACCTTCGGCAAGTTCTAGAAGTTAACAGAGTTATAGCAAGTCACAGATTTGATCATCTATAGTTGCGTAGGCATGTGAAGATGTAATCTCATTGGTGTTCATTTCTCACATGTCTCCCAAGGACCAATATAATCAATTCTGGGAATAAACTCAGCTCTGGCAGAGATTTTTTCCTTATTTCTTTTTTAATTGATGTTGCTCCACAAATGGAAGGTGTTGGGTTATAGGGGGTATGGCTATTGTCAGTGGCCCACGTGATCCAAAGTGACCTGGCCACACCTTAGACAGCCCACAGTTCTTCAGCACAGAGAGGACCAAGGTTATTATGAGGACTGAGCGTTCATGGGAGAGTAACTGGGTAGTTAGTACAAGCAGTTAACACACTCAGTTTGTAACGAAAAGATTTAACATTCAAGTCTACCCAGAATCATCTCTAACAAATGCCTGGCAATCTACTTTTGAAAAAGCAGCCACTAAAAACCCTATGGAGCACAGTTATACTCTGACACACATGGGGATGCCATGGGTCAACATCAATTCAATGTCAACTCGTTCCACTTTTGGTCTTCATGACCTTGGAATGGATGCATGCCCTCCTTGGGAATTCAATGGCATATACAGCTCACTTCTGGCTGGGGTTTTTGAGGGGTGGTGGTGGGGTGGGGTGGTCTTAAGTATTGTTTCTAGTGCTTTTTAACCCTTGTCATCAATTACTTGGCAATTCCTGGTCCAAAATTGATGTAATAAATATCGTTAAAGAAATTAATGAATGAATGTTTTCAGTTGTAAGCTTCTGTCTTCAAGGAAATTGGGGAGAGGGGCCATAGAGTTCCTTACTTCTTTCTGGAAACAAGGCTGACTGAGTTTAGAGGGAGATGGGAACAGAGACTTTTAGGGATAATGTTCTTAACTCCTCTTTCCTTTTCTTACAGGCGTCCCAGGCCTTGTGCACATTGCTGCCTGTTAGTTCTTACAGGAAAGCAGTGGCCCAGTTCTTCCCCCAGCTCTTGATGGCCCTCTTGCTTCAAGTCTTTTACAGCAGCGACCTGAAAGTGATCACCAATGGCATACCTTTGTGAGACAATAGTGGTCACATCAGATTAAATAAAAAGATAAGCTTCCGGTCATCAACTAGTTCCACTCCCAGAGATCATATGGAACTCTTTACAATCCTATAAATGCAATGCATTAAAGTATCACGTTTATTAATGTAAATCCTCTGAAGGGTAATATGCCTTCAGAAATGTAATGAAGCGAAGTACCTAAAAGAAGTAGGATGACCTATGTGGTGGAGTTGTGGGTTACATGTTGAGCTGCTCACCAAAGGCCAGCAGCTTAAAACCACCAGTTATTCCCTGGAAGAAAGATGAAATTTTCTACTCCCGTACAGATTGACAGTCTTGGAAATCCACTGGGGCAGGTCTATTGCTAAGAGTCAGAAACAACTAAATGGAAATGAAATGACTATTGTACATTTCAGATAAAAGTATACACATGTGTTTTGTGGCTGCAGAGTTGTGTGGTTGGTGATGTAAAGATGGCAGTTGGTATTCAATCATTCTGCCCAGTGGAGTGAGGCAGGCCTGGGGGCTGCCCCCTTTCCTTTTTGTCACTCTGCAGAAAAATCTGGACTCCATGGTCTACTACTTGCCTTTGTCGGGTGTAAACTTCTAATGCACAATCAGACTTAGTACTTTATCCTACTCCTTGGGAACACAGCCAGACATAAAGCATTCATTCCAACTAATATAACCTATGTACTTAAGGCATTTAAAGAAGAAAATCAATAAGCACCCTTAACAAATCATCCCATCAGTTATAAAAAGCTATTATACAATGAGTCCTAGATAGTTACATGCTACCATTTCAATATCACTCCATATGCCTCCATTGGTCCACCCCTTGTATGAGGGGGCTTCAAAAACTTTCTAGAAAAATAGAATTTAATGATAATGGAATTTTCCCATGAATGCTTTAAGCTCCCTTGTACTAGTTGCTAATCCAGCAAAATGAAGAGTATTTAGTAGTATGCACCTGCCACGGCACACCCTCTGTCTCAAAATCGGCATCCTGCCTAAGATAACAAGGTAGGTCAAACGCCCTTAGATATGTGATGGTCACTGACTGGTCATGACTTTGTTTTCCTTTGGGATCATAGCTTTGCCAGAGATGCCCTGAGAATCCTGCTGAAATGTTCTGGACTGCAACAGTTGGACAGTGCTCTTCAGAAAAGGAACTGCTGGAGTCAGTTTTCCCAAGTGCTGTTTCAACACCATGGGGTTTATCTTGTGGCCAAGTAAGAACAGAGGGCTCTGCCTAGGAATCTCTATCTCCATCACACCTTGCCCGTCTTTCTCCAATGTGACAACATACCAAATCCCAAATGACTGTGAATGAACTGAGTTTCCATTTGATGTCCATTTATTCAGTGATGTTAAGGGACTTTTACTTTGTAAAAATGTTCCCTGCCTTTCCTCTCTTACCTGATGATACAAAGATCCATTCTGCTCCCTCCATAGAACAGGCTTCTTTTTCAGATATGGAGGACCAAGAATGCATCTGTTTTTGTCCTCCTGTGTTCTTAAGTGAGCCCTGTCCTACAAGCACCAATTAGAGATGTGTTCCCACTTTAAAAAGGTCCCAATAAACCTGAGATCAGTGGGCCAAATACATTTGAGGAAATGCAATGAAATAAAATATTTTCAATTTTTTCTTATATTAGAAAAGGGTTTTTATTCTAGAATTGCAAGTTACTGGTTATAAGAAGCAGGTCTTCTGATCAGAATTAAGATGCATGAAATCAAAAACACAAGAGCCCATTTCAATTTGTGACTGAGCCTGAAGAGACAGTCTATGTGGTCTCTGTACTCTTGCAGAGACATTTCAGAAATATACCTTATTGGGCACAAATAGAGCATACCTGCACCCTGCATCTGCACCCTACAGCCAGTTTTAAGCCACTCCATCCTTGGTACTTTGGGATTTTGTCTCAAAGTGTGGTCCACAGACTAGCAGCAATGGCATATTTTAGGATCCTGTTAGAAACACAGAATGTCAGGCCCTTCCACACACTGATTTAGAATATAAATGTTAGGTGAATATAAATAGAATATAAATGTTCTCTCCATCCTAGGTGGAGAGAAAGAGAGAGAGAGAGAGAGAGAGAGATTCTCATAGCAATCCCTGTCTCTCCTCGACCTCCAGCCTCTGGCAGAAGAGTCCTGTGTAAACACATGTGCGTGGTGGTCTTTGCTGTCCTGATGTAGAAGGGGCTGCGATACAAAGTATTAAGACAGTCCAAAGGAGAGAACGTTGCTGAAATGGCTCACATCCTTTGGGACCAATGTGTTTGGTTGAGCTTGCTAAGAAGACTTTTAATTTGCTTATCTCTGCACTTCAGTATAAATTGGGGTGTATGGGGGGGTGCTCTCTTTCTATGAAGGACTTCTTAAATTGCACTGACAGCTCATCGAGAAAGGAAGCTGTCCAGCGTTGCTCCTTCTCCCTGGACGTAGCTGTAGGCTTCTTCACTAGTATCAGTAGGTATCTGTGTACAGGAAGTACACCATTATTCAGGTTAATGTTTCCTATTAAAGAATGGATTTGTAAAATGTAACATCACTAGTTAACTTTTTTAAGCTCTGAAAAAATAAACAAGTAAAATAATGATTTATGTGTTAAGAGTTAAAATTGCCGTGAAACTTGTCTTAATCCTACTTTTGTGGCTAGCAAAGATTGTGTATGTATGTGAACACATCCCCCTGGTGCCCTAAAAGGGCCACTAAAGGTAGAAGTGGCCCCTAACTTTTCAAAAGTGTCATATTGCTGATGTCAGTTGTACACTTACTGATTCTTCGCAAGTTCTTTAAGGTGTCAAATATACTTTCTGTTTCATTCAGAGACAAGCCACACCTGCTCTATTGATTCACTATTACCGCAAAATCCTAATTTTGTCATTAAATGTTTAAACTCTGTGATGAAAAAACAAAACAAAACAAAAAAAGATCCACAGGTGGTTTGTGTGAGCTTTAACGTGTGAGAAGTGCTGTTTTAGAGTAGTTGACTTGGAACTGAAAATAGTTAGGGTGAACAGTCAATTGTAAGCCTGTGTGTAGTGGAGATGGTTTAGTAATCAGAGCTCACTACCTCTTCTTCTGAGTGACCAGGGTAGTCCCATCTCGCCAGCTCTTCTTCATTAGATCTTTCAAAGGAAGGCTTGATTCCAAAGCACAAAGATGACCTGTGCTGCCATCTGAGGTTGAATACTCACTAGATACATATTTTCTCTTACTTTGAAAGCAATTAATGGGAGTTTGAAACAAAACACTTTTGTATTGTGGCTAAGGATAGGGGCAACAGGAAAGAGGAGTGACATTAACAAAGAGAAAATGTCAAGGATCCAGAGATATGTAGTAATTCCCCAGTGTCTATTGGAATTCAACATGGGACTACCTGGAGGTATTGAATATTTTGTTTTGTATCTGGGTGGAGTAAGAGTTGAGGATAATGATTCTCTTTTATCTCCATTAGCATTTGTTGATGAAGAGTCTATTTCCTTCTTCTTTGCTAACTTGGCCCCTTATGATTCTTTATAGAACTCTCAGTGACTATAACTTTCCACAGTTTCCAGAAACCCTGCGTTATCTCTACAAGCTCTCAGTGGAAGGTCCAAGAAGGTCAGAAGACAGTGTCGTCACAGTAATATTTCTCACTGAGGTGAGTTTCATTTGGAGACTCAACAACTGTGTTCTCATTCTCCGATTCAAACTTGACACTTGACCTTTCACTTGCCTCTCTAGATATTGATTTTTAACAAGTAGGAGTATTATAGATAACTAAAGTTAAGAGTTGAGGGAGTAGTGGGGTGACCTTTAAATTATTCTGAAAACTAGATTTCACCTTTTTAAAATAGAGTGTGACTTTTCACAACACTAATTAAAAAGTAAAATCAGTGCACACATCTCTGCATGCTTGCTAGTGTATATCAAGGGATAACTTGGTAGGTAAGATCTGGGTTCTGAATTATACTCCAGACCATCTGAATTTTAAAACATTGGACAAATAACTAGGTAAGATGTGGGATCATATTACGTTGCTGATGAACATTGTACAATATATTATGCTTATCAGGCCATATAGGAGTCAAGCAAATTGAGAAGTCCTCTTGCTTATAAATGGTAGGTAGAAACGGTATAACAAATTGAAATTCATTCTATAAAAATAATACTGTAAAATGCGTTTTTTAACCTAAGGTAATTAGATGATTTCAAACATCTAATCCAGCAAAATATTTGGTAAATGATAAAATATATTCTCATACGTTAAGCCACTATTTCTAAAGCTTCCTGAAATATGTATAGATCAAGCTACCTTAGCATTCATTAACAAATCACAAATGTTTCAAAACTGTGCTTAATCTATTCGTATCTCTCATTTTTTCATTTTATTCATTTTCTCTTTAAAAATGTACAGATGATAAATATCAAAACATGACACTAACTAGATGTCCTATAAAGTAATCCAAGAGGAATTTACAGCACACATAAAATTTATATTAATGACATTAAGGCAGCAGCTGCTTGTTAATAAAAACGAATTGCCTCTCACATCGTGAGTACAGTAATTGCTGCTGTTTGAGTTGGGCATATCTGCCCTTCCAAATGTTCAGTGATGGACATATTGCACCATCATTCTCTTTGGATGCTTGTATAACCCTCAACTGCCAGGATATTTTGAAGTTAATTCACCTATTGTAATTCTGGGAACAGTCTATGAATTATACCTTAGATTGAATTTTTTTCTTGAGTTCTTTAGTTTAAAATATCCTGAGTGTGCTCTTCCTTTTTCATTTCTAACTCAAGGTCTTTGCACATTTCATTATAATGTTTTCCTTTGTCTTCACGGGCTGCCCTTTGAAATTTTCCATTCAGTTCTTTGAATTCATCATTTCTTCTATTTGATTTAGCTACTCTGGATTAAGAGCAAGTTTCAGAGTCTCTTCTGACATCCATTTTGATCTTTTCCTTCTTTCCTGTCTTTTTAAGGACCTTTTGCTTTCTCCATGTGTGATGTTCTCCCACAGCTCTTCAGTTCATTAGTGTTCATCAAATCTGCTCTTGTATGCCTAGAGATCAGTCAGAAAGGAATCATCTAAGATATCTCACACACACACACACACACACACACACACGCATACACATGATCTAGACATAAAACTTTTGCATGCATATGAGGTGATTGAAAATACTAAAGCTTGGGTCAACCTAAATTTGCATATGTTCAATTGATAGTCTATTTCACAGTTAGCTTTGTTTTGACTGATGATATTGAATTTCTCCATCACTTCTTTTCACAGATGTAGTAAATTTGATTCCTGCATAGTAAACCATAGGATTGTCCAGTTCTAAATGGGCCATTTCAGTTCATTTTGGCTCCCTAATGCCTGGGATATCCATATTAATGCATCTCATTTCACTTTTGACAACTTCTAGCTGTCCTAGATTCATACTTCATACATACCACTTTCAAATTATTAATCTATATTTGTAATTAGTTCTCAGTCTGAGTAGTGCCAAATGAGTAAATTAAAAGTCCCCAAAGTTTAGCTCTTCCCATCTCATTAAGATTTGCTCTGCTATCCTGCCACACTGAGGCAAAGCACTGGGGGAGTGCAGTGGAACAGCAGGGGAGGGGAGCAGCAAGATCCCCAGGGAATGATGAGGGTGGACTTTGGGGACAGGGCGTGGTGCCCCAACAGGCTGCACTGGAAAACACTCTTAAAGGCCAGCGATCCTTAAACTAACTACAAGCTTTTCTTTCTTGGTATGTTTTAATTTGTTCTTTGTCAGTGGCTTGATGTTGTTGCTGTTTTGTTGTACATTGTTGCTTGGTTTTTCTCTGTCTTGTTTTCGTGCATGTTGTTGTCTCCAGGGGTCTGTCTGGATACGACAGGCTGGATGAACAATCTGGAGGAGAAAACAATGGGACTGACAGTTCCGGGGGGACATGGGAGAGGGGGAGGTGGGGAGAAAGGAAGAGGTGTTAACAAACCCAGGGACAAGGGAACAACAAGTGATCCAAATTGGTGGGGAGGTGGGTGTGGGAGACCTGGTAGGGCATGATCAAGGGGAATGTAACAAAGAGGAAGTGCTGAAATCCTGGTGGGGACTGAGCATGATAGTGGGACAGGAGGAAAATCAAGGGAAATAGAGGAAAGAGGTGGGAGGCAAAGGGCATTTATAGAGGTCTAGATAAAAACATGTACATATGCAAATATATTTATATGAGGATGGGGGAAATAGATCTATGTGCATATATTTATAGGTTTAGTATTATGGTAGCAGAAGGACATTGGGCCTCCACTCAAGTACTCCGTCAATGCAAGAATACTTTCTTCTATTAAGTTGGCATTCTGTGATGCTCACCTTCCTGACACAACCGCTGAAAACAAAGCGGGTGAATAAGCAAAAGTGGTGAAGAAAGCTGATGGTGCCCGGCTATCAAAAGATATAGTGTCTGGGGTCTTAAAAGCTTGAAGATTGTCTTGGTTCCTAAGGAGGTTACAGTTCATGCACCCTGTCTGCCCCGGTTCCAGGACGTCAAGATCCCCTGGGATGTTTCCATTTAAATCCTTTATGAGCTGGGTACAGGCCTCAGTACATTCAGGCATGGCCCCACCTGCATATTCTGCATCACCAGCAGCAAACTGGGAGGAGGAAGAAGTGCCCGGTTTGGGTATTAGTCTTTCTTGGAAGTGCCCATGAGAGATTGCAATTTGTGAACATCATTAGAGCTGATCCAGATGGGACAAACGTAGAGCATCCCTGTTGCTGGCAGTGTTCTAAGGACCAAAGAAAATGACCAAGGCACAGGAATCACTGACATTCAATGATGTGGCTGTTAAGTTCACCTGGGAGGAATGTCAGCTCCTGAACCCTGCTCAGAAGACCCTGTATCAGGATGTGATGTTGGAGAACTATCGCAACCTGGTTTCCATCGAAATCCAGAGAGATGATCATTTGCTTGAGCACTTGCAATGTGAAAGATGCATGGACAGAACGGAAAAATGCTATAAATTTAATATATTGGAAAGTGTTGTGTATCAGCACAAAAATAATTTTCCTCCAAAGGAAATTTATGAGATATTTGGATTACATGAAAAAGTATAAAACCAGATTTAATCATTCTGAAATTAAATCAGAACAGAAGCAACAAAACACAGAAGTCAGTTGTGCTCAAGGAAGATGAGGAAACTTTCCTTCACATTGAACAAGAGCAATTTTGTCCTGAAATGAAATTCCCTAAGTGTGAACAATCCAGGCTCATGAATTCACAATGCATTCAGCATGAGGAATCTGATGAAATTGAGAAACTGCACACAGGTGATAAATATGTGACAACCTTCATTGAGGAGTCTTTGCTCTATGAGCACCAGATCATTCATGTACTAGATAAGACCTATGAATGCAGTCATTGTGGGCAAAAATTCAATAAAGTGTTCGAACTCAATGAACATTATCAAAAATCTCATGAAGGACAAAATCTTTATAAATGCTTGGAATATGGCAAAACATATCACAGTAAATCATACTTCAAGGGATATCAGGAAAATTATGTGGCAGGGATGCCCTATGTATGCAGTGAATGTGGGAAAGGCTTCACCACGAAGACTGATCTCACTGCTCATCATCAAACTTATAGTGGAGAGAAACCCCATGCATCGGGTGAATGTGGAAAAGCCTTCATTGGGAAGCCTTCTCTCACTTATCATCAGCAAAATCATACTGGAGAGAAACCTCATGTATGTGATGAATGTGGCAAAGCCTTTATCTGGAAGACTTCTCTCACTGTTCATCAGCAAACTCATACTGGAAAGAAACCCCACGTATGTGGTGAATGTGGAAAAGCCTTTATAAGGAAGATTGCCCTCACTGTTCATCAGCGAACTCATACTGGAGAGAAACCATATGTATGCAGTGAATGTGGAAAAGCCTTTATTGGGAAGACTGCTCTCAATTATCATCAGCAAAATCATACTGGAGAGAAACCCCATGTATGTGATGAATGTGTCAAAGCCTTTATCAGGAAGATTGCTCTCACTGTTCATCAGCAAACTCATATAAAAAGACTGAGACTAGCAGACTGACTTAGAAAACACAACCCATCAATCTGCTGCCTACAGGAGACACATCTCAAGGATACAGACAAGCATAGACTGAGAATCAAAGGTTGGAGAAAGGCATACCAAGCAAACAACAGTTCAAAAAAAGCAGGGGTTGCAATCCTAATCTCGGATAAAATTGACCTCAAAGTG